AGCTGGGATCTATTAGCAGGTTCAACTAAATAAATAAATAAATTTATTCTTATGATGCAGTACATGAGGGACGCCAGTTTACAGGCATCATCAAATTATTACAGAAATAGGACCATATTATTCAGTCACATTTTACAGTCGATAGCAAAATATGTTTAACATGTACACTGGAGATTATACATACACTTGATAAATGTTAATCCCAATAGTATAAAACATCCTTTTCACTTATGTACACTCGTTTCTGTGCATAGTTGGAAAAATCCGCTAGATTGTCAGTGAGTGCAACACATCAGGAAATACAGAAGTATTGTCTTCGCATTAACAAAAAAACCAGGTCTTTGGTGGATGGGTTATAAGTGCCTGGCAGCTGACCTCGGCGCAGTAAACCAAATCTACCTGACAATGACCAATATTAGTCTGTATTGAGTACAATTCACTTCTGGTGTTACTTACGATGAAAATTCTGACACAACTATACAAATACATCACCTATTTTAAAATAATACCCAATTTGGATATAAATGAAGAATAAGATTCGATGCCGCACACACCAAAATTATATGGGGAAGTTGACTTCAAGCTTTATTTTTTTCCGAGTATTTGTAATCCATCCAACACATACTTGGTTTTTTTGTTAATGTGAGTCCTCAGCCGAATGACTAGTTAGCAGATTGTACCTACAAACTAAAGTCAAAAAGGACAGCAACCATGTAATTTCACCCTAAGCCAAATTTATGTAATTTAAATAATATTATCGACGCCTGTGAGTCTGGAGTCTTATGCGTATAAATCCCGTGCTAGTTTCCCCTACGGTTTCATGTGTTGCGACTGACTAGCCAGGCAGGTTTTCTGCATTTGTTTTCACAGGTATGGTCGCCTTGGGAATGTTTGGGTGAATTGTCGTTGACCGATTTATGTTTTTGCCAACCATCAACGTAAACGTTTTGGCTATATGTTGACCACTGCCTAACGGCGCCATGACCTAATGTCACCACAATCCTCCTCCATATGTGTTAACACCAAGTATAGGGTGGAAACATTTGTAAAACATTATATTTGTAAAATCTCAGCGATATTGAAATGAGTAATTCCAGCGTTTCGTTCGGAAATCTGGTCCGAACTTCTTCAGGTAAATTAATCGAAATTAACATAACAGGTTTATATATAAAAGGAACATCTTTTGCTTTTAAAATATTTGTCCAATCATGATTCATAAAACAAATATTAACAAGTATAATAAACAAAATTGTACGAGTTGTGATCAAAATTTGACCTCAGTTTTACATATACTGATCTACCTTTGTGCACAGATTTATGGGGCATCTTATAAACTAACTTGCTGTCCATTGACTGATCTTTAAATACCACTTCACAGTGTCTTATCTCATTCATTTTCCAATAACGTCTTTACTTGATCCTCATTATATCCCATTAAACCTAACATTTTACAGCTCTTTATGACTTATTATATTCCTACTCTCTGAAGGGTACGGTTGTGCACTAAATGCACAAAAAGGTATAAAACAAAAACAACTGGCACAACTGAGGATAAATGTATTAAAACCAAAAGTGGACATCATGATAGTACGAGGTATACGTGTAGCATTATACATTGCAAATGAACGTTGTCAGCCTAGGGAGTTTTCTTTATTAATGCATTTATTAATGATACTTGCACTTACCTATTTCATTACAATTTAATGATTCACCTCAGCACTTTTACTTTTCTAAAACAGCTTCCAATCCCTTGTAAACGTTGTACTTACCTCAATATTGGTTGGTTATCGTATGCCGACAACCACGAGATGAAAACGAAACGAAGTCCATTTTCCCGCTCAACCTGGGGGACAATTGTACAATTCAATAACTATACAGCCTAGTTCAGACAATGTGTATTTATATATATATCAAATATTTAACTGTTGAAACATTATTAACTTGTAGACAATCTACGATTTGATATTATATCATACTTGATCGTGCCTGTGAAAATGGCATGCATTTTCATGTAAATTTATATGTTTATATGAGAATATACATTATTATTATTAAACACTTTAAACACAGTGTGTGTGTTCGGATAAACAGTTGTAAACAATGTCTTAACGTCTCCATAAGTAGATATAGACAGTCGGGAAACTTTGACCAAGTATTATTAGTTAGTGATACATATCCATTCCTATTTCTTAATCAGGATTTCCTATGCGTCATCTAACATCACACCTTCATGTCGGTTCAAACTGTTAGTATCTAGAATTTTATGATTAGACGTATTTTCAAAATTATGGTGTTTAGGATTAGAGTTTAGTTGAAGCACCCTAATAATACTTGGTCAAAGTTTCCCGACTGTCTATATCTACTTATGGAGACGTTAAGACATTGTTTACAACTGTTTATTCGAACACACACACTGTGTTTAAAGTGTTTAACAAAGGTAGATCAGTATATGTAAAACTGAGGTCAAATTTTGATCACAACTCGTACAATTTTGTTTATTATACTTGTTAATATTTGTTTTATGAATCATGATTGGACAAATATTTTAAAAGCAAAAGATGTTCCTTTTATATATAAACCTGTTATGTTAATTTCGATTAATTTACCTGAAGAAGTTCGGACCAGATTTCCGAACGAAACGCTGGAATTACTCATTTCAATATCGCTGAGATTTTACAAATATAATGTTTTACAAATGTCTACTTCTCACTCGGCGCCCAAATATTATAGAACTATTCTGTCAAATCTTGACTACAGTTCATTTGATATTCATATTCAATGTTGTATCGTGTTGGTGCTTCTATATACTGCACAATTGCGCATTCAACCACTGTTAGTATGAGTTCCATGTAGAAACAAGTGTACAATGTATTTGATAATAATTTCTCCCAATTAATATGGAGGACATGAAAATCATCTACTATTAGACACCCATTTCTACTACCCCACGTCCTGAGGAGACACAGAAAGAAATCGTCAGCTTATGTCTCAGGACTTTTAAATAACCCCGATTGTCACAGTACTTTTGTCCAGATTGATGACAGCTTGCGGCCTAAATAGTTCCACCGTCAACGTTGATCTAATTCGCATGTCATGCCCGCTATGTGGAACAATTTCACCGCCTTTCCGACTAATTACTCTGTGTGCTCTAATGCAGATGTGCCCGTGCATGAATGGAGTCACAACCGTTTTAAGTGATAGCAATACCATCAGTCAGAAGTTCTTCAGACAACACTTCTATTTCAGGGAGTTTATTCGCAGGACCACACACGTTCGTATTGCGTGCTGACATTTGAACAGAGGTCTGGATATCATAGTTTTCAAAGACCTTACTATCCGAAAGCCCAGCGGTTTATGTCTTTTCACCTTTTTCTAGTCAAGCTTTTAACTAGACCACAGGTTTTTCCCTTTTAACTCTATCTTCCAAAGGCCAGTCGGGCCTTATTCGCATCCTTTTGTGCTTGGTTTTAAATGAGTTGCTGAGAATTATTCTCTTCTCCATCTTGTTCTCCAGCACTATCTTTAGCAGTTGTGGGGAAATTTCCATTGCTTCGGCATTTTGTTTACCGAATCCGATAACCCTTCTTATGTGTTCCACTTGTTTTTTGGAGAATTACCTCACGAGTGATGGAGCTAACTACCTCGAGATCATCAGCATGTCGGGCGGCTGAATGTACTTTCTTTGATTGCTCCAAGCTCCAAATTAAGATACTGCGATTTGTGTCCGAAGGTTTTAAAATCATATTAGTATTTACAGTAATCGATATCTTATCACTAAGCCCAGTCTTTTTCTCCTTCCTTAAATCCTTCAGCCTCCAATTTTTTGCATTAAGTGAAATTAGTTACTTCCGCTTTGTTGTTGCTAAAGTTGGAGGCCATGTGTTCACTGGATACTCAACAGATTTCGTTGTGGAATCATCCGGTGGTCTTACGATTTTAGAACTACTTGTCCTCTCAGAATTTCACGACATTTGCTGTGCTATTACAGACTTTTGGGTACACCTTAACACCTCAGCGTCTCTCGCTTCGAGATGTGGTTCTGTTTCATCCTTCTGACTCAGTTCGGAAACATCATTCCTGGAATCATTTCCCGATGTGACCTCTTTTCCTCATCTGAGATTTTTGTTAGATTTTTGGACATAAGAGGTCCTACTGCTTCTTGGGCGAGGATGTCTAACTGGGTGCTACAAAGTTTGCACACCCATGGATACAATGGCTCCATGCATCCCCTATAGTTTGATGGTGATAAGCCAGTTCAAACTTTACGGAACAATGTTTCAGTTATCCCACTGTATCCCGTCATCCACCGGGAAGTGGCAGTCCGGTCGTCCACAGCTATTAGGCGGACATATGTCGGTATAATTTGTTTAAATTACACACATACACATACCTAAACACAGAGACATTAAAACCGCACAAAAATACTTCAACTAATTAAGCCAGTTAATGTAAACCAAAAAGCTTCTGATGCCTTCGGCTTTTCATAGCGCTTGCTAGAATGTCTGGATGCCTAATCCGGAAAGCTTGTGGTCGCATTGATTTCGCAGCTGATGGTGGTGTATGTTCACTTTGGTAAAGGTACGTTTTCAGTTTTTGAAAAAACTAATCACTGAAGCTGCGGTATTTCAGCCAGAAATAAATAGAATCTATTCTCACGGATGCGCTTTTGATCCCATATACTACTAATTATGTTCTCCAGTTTCCTCTTTTATCAGCCAAAGACTCCAATGAGATCTCAAATACATTTTGTCAGTCGCCTATGCGACTACTGTTTCTCTCTGGTTTATCAGCTATGTGTAGTTTTATAGAGAATGTTTCGATTGACGGATCCAAGTCTAAAGCTTGCTCCGAGGAGGTTGTAGGAGGTGTTCAAAAGAAACATAAGGCCCAGTAAAGAAACTAAGCCGTAAATTTCCACGCTACAGGTTAATTTACTTGGGTGAATAATGTTGAAAGTTGGCTCTGAGATTTCACCGCCAATTTGAAAGTCAAGGTCATTAATGTTAAATACCCCAAAAGAAAGCCAGGCTCAGGCCTCACTTGAATCTCGTCTTAGTAAGCTTGATGAAGTTGAAAGAAAAATATCACTCATCATGCAGCATTCAGGCAATGCTCTCGAGGAGCTTTCTAAAGACAAGCCAGTGGTAAAACAAGTTGAGAGCTACACACACAACTTTCGGACCATTGTAAAGGAAGTGGAGACAGAGATGAACGCAAATATTAGTTATCTGTCTCAGATATCTGCCGGATTGCCCTACGAAGGATCTACTTACGAAGATACCACCAATTTTCGCCGCTCAATTGACCGATTGGTTTCTGCAAAACGCCACTTAGATTCTTGTTTGTAAAGTTTCCAAAATATAACTATTTTCACAGTTGTTTTTGTTTTTGTTCATAGCATATACCTGTTAACAAACTTCGTCTGTTTTTCAGGTGTTCTAGGCTTTTAAAGATGGAATCAGACCCATCAGTATCCAGCACTGTTTGTGAAGGTGATGTGTTACAGTCGGACAACAAGGGAGACAAGGGCATAGATAATATTGACGCCATGAAGAAGTCTAACCTTCTCTTGGACAACAGTTCGACACCCCAAAAGCCTCATAACGCTGTGAATGAAAACATAGAAACTAGTTCTAACTTTGATGAAACGTCAAGAAGAGGTAGCAAGTGTGATGACAATATGCCTGTTCATTCCGCCTTCTCTGAGTTCGAAATTCCTGAAATGGAGTTCGATGAATTCGAGTTGGAATTAGCCGCTCAAAAAGGTGCGTTAATAGTTTAACGAGAATTATTGTCATAAGTGCCTTACCAAGTTATTTCTGAAGTGTAGTAGTTTTTACTGACCAGATTCTCCATTTATTACATTTTATCCTGATGCTAAAATTTTGTGGTGGTCATGGTAGGCTGCAGTTGCATCTAGATGAGATGCCGTTTCATAAAGTTTGTGTTTGATTTCTTTTTGTTTGTAAACTTTGTTTTGAAGACTAGAATATATGCGTAGGACAGTAGTCTTAACACATTCTTCAGGCTTTGAAGAAGTTATTACTGTAGGGGTGTACGTAAAGTCTCGTTCCCTTGGGTTTCCATAGTTCACTATGGATTGCTTATCGTTGACTATGATAATATAGTTGACTGCTGAAATTATTTTGTCATTATGACGGTAAATTTAGCATCTTTAGCATTTCAGCACTGGAATTAAGTGGCGAATCTAATTTTTGAACACTAAGTAAGGACCATAAGTGTCTTTCCGATGGTGTACATGAGGTTATGTTGAGGTGTCTGAGTCCTAAAAGAGTGACCGACAGCATGGATTCTTCAGGCAAGAAATTTGTTCATTTCTGTATATTTGGCAGTAGGTCATACTTACTCCGCGTAGGTTTGTGATACTGCGTTATGATTTAACCGGATCGATTGGGTGTGGTTGTGGTTCGTCTTGTATCGTTGGGAAGATTAATTCGTAGAGAACTAAACTACAACAGAAATGTTAGTTAATAATAATAATCTTAGTTGATGTAAAGGATGGTTATCTCTAACAAAACCCTGTTGTTTGTAAGTGGTTACCCCAAATGCGAATTTTTCTAATTTTACCAGCCATCGTAATCCAGAGTTGAATTTCTTACTGTAACAGCTCTTCTCATATTCAAGGTTTATGTGTGCTCCTACTTGCTGAAAGTAACTTAGATGTGTTAAAAGTAATTTTCTTCATGTATTTAAATCCAGGGGTGTTCAATTTACCCTTTGTATTGTGTGAGATTCAGGCTTCTGTATCTGAGTTAAGTAATTGATGACATGTAAGAAGTCAGTTATTGGGTTAGTGTCCAGCTTTTCTAAGCATTTGAGTAAGGGCAATAGAAGCAATATATCCAAACATGTTAACGTACACTCGGGTTAAGTCGGGAGTTGTGTAAATACACAGGTAAACTGTAATTCTTTTCATTTAAATGACTGATTCATGTCCCTACTTGACTAGTTCTTCTGGTGTGGGTTTGTTCTCTAAGCTGGGTAATTTAATTAGAAGCTTTCGTTATCCTTCTAGATAAGATCTTCATTGCCAACATCAGTGTGAAGTGTCCGCTGTTTTGACTGCGAAAGGCGTCCACTTTGGACTACAGAGTTTTCACAGGTGATGCAATTAGCCTTGTATATGGTGTTGATCTTGTCTTTTGTCTTTCAGTCTTTTGGCTTACATAATATTAAATAAAGTAATAATGCCAGTTCGTGTGTGATTTTTATTCAGATTATATTTAGTATTCTAACACTGATTTCAGAAATGTTCTTTCTATGTTGTAAAACAGACTTTTTTCCGTTTTCTAGGTATGTTTTTTCGGTAGCCTTTTTGTTTGAGTGCAAGCATCTAATAAAGTTAGGAGAGTATTTTTTTTCTTTAAGATGGTCAAGAGGTATTTCTCTTCTATTCTCAATAGTAAAGTGCTGCAATATACCTCGGCTTCTTCACGTTGGCATGAGTTCTGAAAAGTACCTTGATTACTGTGATATATTTTCTCGGTACACCCTTCACAGTCAGACATCATTACAATTCTTGATCGATAGGTGAAACGCAGCCTTCGGATGAGAAATATGGAAAGAGTTGGATGCCGTTAAGCGTGTCTATGTTTCTGAACATGCTGAGTGGGGAAAATATGGTTAAGACTACATAGTCTGTGTCTAAAGTCTATCTAGTCTTCACGGGTGCGTTTTTCCCAGGTGTCGTTTAGTCTTTGTACGACTTTGAACATATCGATTAGCAATGTAAACTAATTCGTTGCGAATGCCTGGGAATCCCGCATACTGTCTAATACCTTCGTTAATTTAGTCAATAATTTTTCACTGTCATCCTTAACTACCTTTAGAATCCTGCTTTGTCTTGTTTTAGAATACAGATATCTATCGCACCTTCAGTTACATTTGGACGACAGATGTCTGTATGTTATTGAGATAGGTGTTGGGTGCTGGGAAAGTTTAGTGTGGGTGTGTGCCAGTTGAATTGTTCCTCAGTGTGTCTCACTCAACGTGCCAGGTGTCTATTCAGGAGGTTGATTGAAGTACCACATTTCTCGGGAATTGTTTCTTTTATCATTAGTGTTTTGCAAACCGTTTCTCTAATGGATCTAAATAGATTTCTGGTATTATCTGCCGCTGATGAGTTTTCAATCTCTAGTTATTGTCGCCCACCAATAGACAGCACACATATGACTTCACTGGAATCGAGTCAGATAGCTAGTTTTTGTGCCCTAGCTCTCAATTCTCTTCCTGCTTCTCCGACAACAGAGAGCCATTTTAGATGGCTTGCTTGTGTTTTGAAGGAAACATCTTACTGCTGTTACATCTCATTCGGAAGGACACCGTGCCTATACCGTAGATATAGAAAATGGCAACAGACAACAAAAGAACGTTGGAGAGGCAGAATAGAGAGAAAAAATATATAAGACAGACTATGAAACCGTATGATTACAGTTAATGTGGTTATAAGCAATAATTTATGTTCGACACATCATCCAGTTGTTAATACTGCATCGCTGTATGATATTTAAAATAAACTTATCTAATATGGCATAACACTTAAGTTGTAACTAACTTCCTCCTCTGATCTTTCCTGGTCGACCCACATCCTGTTGATTTCTAAGGAAATATTTCGTCTAACCTCTACTCTAAAGTTTTTTAACTCTCGCATTTAGCCTATATTTATTGCTGTCCCTTGATCTTTCCTGGGTTACTTAATAAAGACTTTGTTACGTTGTAAAGAGCGCTAAAAGCTGTTTGTTGGGCGAGTGACGTGCATCTAAGACAACTCATTGATATTGTTGACAGACATTTAAACTCATGAAAAAATTTGGCGAGGGTGATCTCATCGAAGTCTCAGTACACTGTTTATTCATAACTATCCTCTGGCATCTTCTAAGGTAGGACTGCAAGCAATCGTAAACGATTTTATATTCACACCACTGAAGGTTACAATAAAATGTTAATGATAAGAAGAATAGAAAAAGCTGTTTTTACTGTTTCTCAGTAAGTTGGTATTTCTTTTTTGTCTAACACTTTTCACCATATAAGTCAAATAAGGTATCATTGAGTTTTTACAGTGTCTATTAATTTATGTATTATTGCCACTGTGATTATATTAAGTGTCAATGAAAGTTCTGTAATTGCTGCTCTTGTTATTATGTAACTTAAAGAGAAAAGTTAGATGTAGTATTGTACTGTATTGTGATAATTCCACGTAGTATCGGAAGTAGTGTTTGCAATAAAGTAATTATTGTTAGTGATTAAAAATCACTGAAAATGATGTAAATTCATTCACTCCTTGTTATCTTTTAGCTTATGAAAATGTTGGCAAACTTCATTGTAATTACTGTTTCTTCTGCACATTTTCGTCCCTTTTCTAGTTTAATTTAATTTCTCTTCTAACGTGTATCCTTTGTCAGTTGAGTTCATCGCCTTTTTTATTTGTACACTAAGCCTATCAATTTGGTTCTTAAATTTGTTCAGACTTCATTGTGCGTCGGTGGCACAGCGGTTAGGACGCTCGCCCATCATACACGAGATCCGGGTTTCGATCCCCGGCCGACGCACGTCCGATATCAATGGACTATCGGTATGACAAGCTGAAAATTCCATAGTTGTACCGAAATACTGTATGGAATCAAGCCATGATAATAATAATAATAAAATGAGCTCAAAATATCTTTTCACTACTGTATTTTAAGTGTTAGGCATAAACCCCGTAAAAAATCGACATCGAAAAGTGTACAACAAAGATAGTATGAAGACAATGTGAAGATATAGATGAAGAGCGACGGCATGAAGAACAGAATGATCAGAAGTCGCTTCTGTAGTATGGATTGCAAAAGCAATCATTCACTTTTTATCCTCTTTTATTACATGGGACTCGAGGGTTAAAGGGTAGGGCCATCACACGCTTCACTTCCAGCATACCTGTCTCTTGTGGTGTAACGAAACATGTCAGTGAAAAAGTATTCTTCATTTTACAGCTGTTACCACTGCTTCCAGCCAGTCATAGGGTGAGTATACATAACCGTAAGTTATGTAAACTCGTAACCAACTAATTTAACACTATCTTCATAACTGGTGCGTTATCTCATAGCAAAAGGATGTCACCTGGGTGCCCTCAATTTTGTAGTTCCTTCTCAGGTAAACGCTTTGAAGATTACATTATAGGAATGTCATTATTGCTTAGATCAAAGAGAAATCTTTGCACTGGCTCACAACGGTAGAGGTGGTTTTTTCGCTTTTTTTTCTGTACTTGGGTTGATTTTATGGTGTTCTTATTGTTGTTTACACCCAAACTTTTGTATTGCATGCACACCAAAAATGTGTTACACTTAATGTAGCAGTAATATGAAGTGAAGGAAATAAAGGTATTCAGGAATAATCGAATGAAAGGGTAAGCATTCTTCCGATAATTTGCCTGTTATGATTGAGGGTGGACTTTCTGTCTTGCCTCAAAATACTCTCATGTAGGCGTATGTGTTCGTAACCTCTGTTGACGTTTTTCTACTGAGAGGTACTATATTGACCTTACTTTAGAATGCCTCCATTGAAGTCGTGGCTTCCCATCTGTGCTACCGACTGCGACCTAGCTGTTGTGCAGGAAAGGAACATTGTATCGACAGCTAAACAGTCTTCCTCACCAAGGTTACTTAGTGCCTATTCAAATGTTAGTATGGGCCTGAATACTCATTTAGAATATTTATAAGCATGGCTTCACCTTGTTATTGACTGTTTAAGCACGAATTTGCATAAATCTCATTTCAGATCGACAACGTGTGATTTCTTCCTTTTTTGTGATATTCTTGTAGCCTTTTATCATTCTGTGGTTCTCATTATCTCCATTTAACGTGGCTTATTCCCAAAGCTGTTGAAGTGTTGACAAACTGATTGTATTGATTTAGAAGCTTCATACCAAAATGAACAAGGAGCATTCTGGTCACACCACTGCGTACTGGGAACCTGCATTATAAGTGAAAACTGCTTCATGTGGTAGATATTCCAACAGCACCTATTTTTGGTAGAAGCAATCCTTGATTAAATTAAATTAATTTCCACTGAACCAACTGTTCAAACAGAATCCTCCTTAATGAAATGGTGTACAGTAATGCGTTGTTTTAAAAGCACATCTTCCTTTCACTCAGAAATACGAACAAGAGCCAAATTGAACGCCCATCTGTCTTGTCTATAGACGTATAAACTCTCAGTGGCGTGCATTGATGGAAACAGTCTGTTTAGCGTGTTTCTGTTCTGTAGCCAAAGTGTTAGTTGCTAGTAAGATAGATACTGTGCAAAATGTACCAGAGACCCATCATTCCTGGGCTATTATTTGGTTCATTGGACGCTATTTTGTTCTAGATGATGAGACTCAATCTTCCCTACTGATAAGCCATCTGGGTATTTTTCACAGGCATGCGTCGTCTGATGTCACAAACATGAGCGTTTCAGAGAGGTAATATTTTAATGAAGGTTAGCCAGAATTTCTGTGCGCGTTGATGGTTGATGGATAGAATTTTAGCCAGCCACACACGTGGTTCCGGGTACCATTCCCGGCTGATGCTCTCCTAAACCGTTCCTAGCTGGTAGTAAACCCCGTAAAGAGGGAAAGTTGGGCAAGAGGCTTCAAAGCTTGAGCTTGAAACTGTGTTTCTTTTACAACTCACAGGGATTAGATAGAGAGAGAGAAAGGTGAAATATCTACGATTCGCAAGGTGACAGTTGGTTACTGATTTTTGCTTACCGGGCTAATGAGAGCCACATTTATCGTGTGCGGGCCATGTTGGAGTAGGTGGGGCGGGACTCGAACTCGTGACCCGTCGACTAAAAACCGAGTGTTTAAATCAATGAACCACGTCTCCATGTTGGTTACTAATAGTCCTATCGGGACATAACATTATTCAGTATCTGACTATGAATCTCTGCAACACTCAAGGGAGATTAAAGATTTGTTTGCGGGCATCTTGAGATTTTCATAATCATTGGGCAAAAAGACTATTTGTGAAATACCTGAAAGGAGTTCACGGATCCACATTTGTATGTCTTTTATCGTTTTCAAGTTCCGAATATCTATACTAGTCCTCGTCGAACTCCTTATTTCCTCCCATATGTGATTTTTCACTTTTGGTCAAATGACATTGTTCGGAGTGTGACAGCTGCTAGTATGCTGATGTATGTCTGTGCAAAGTGGATTTGTTTATCAATGAAAAATAAGGACAAGGTGCTTTCTTGTGTGAAGGAAACTTGTTGCTGTTGTGCTCCTGCTAGCAGGCATTTTCACTTTAGCTAACAACTTCACCGTAGCTCAGACAGCTTACACTACGACAATTATTGTTTTAAGTCTTGTAGCTTTTCTAGGATACTGAGACTTTCAGGAATAATACTTAAATTATTAGGATGTAGAATATCTGTTCATTATAGTTCTATTAATTCTTTTCCTCTACCTTTGTATGCTATATGGAGAGTGTCGATTTTGACTGTCGCACTTCTGTGCAAAGTTCTATGCTGAAACTGATTCATTCAATCAGACTATCTAATTCAGTGAGTGACAGCTCCACATTTTTATCCATTCTCACAGTGGTAGATCTGGGTAGCCAGGTAAGGACTACGCAGCCTATAAGTTTAGAATAATTAGCATACTTTCAGAACGTATTTCTACTATTGCCTTATAGGTCACGATAACCTTTTCTTTCGTTATAATATCCTCTGTTGGGTCGCTGCAACCGCTGCGGTCTCTCTGCTTGATTTCTGTTATTCCAAGTACTTCATGTTTGTACATATTTTATGCTACCTTTTCTTCTTATTTTTGTGTATTACAGAGTTTTCATCTGATGAACAGTTATTCGATTCGGGTCGTATGACTCCAGATGGACTGATTGATGAAGACTTTGAACGGGAACTTGGGTGTGCAGCAAAGGCAAGTACAGTTATATTTATTCTCTAGACATTGTGTAAGCAGTTAGCGACTTGTTTTACTTTTCGGATTATCTCAAAATTGAAGTTGCATCACACACACACGTGTGTGTGTGTCGTGTCTTCCAGCCTACACACTTCTAGGTTACCTTCTTTCGTGTGTTATCAGTTTCTGTTGTCTGTCGAAACGACGGTGAGTCATTCTATCTAAATTAAATGTGCTTCTAGTTCCCTCCTTCCTTCCCCACCCTGTATTTTTATGACGTAGGCTCATATATATATATATATATATATATATTCTTCATGCGTAACGAGAATTGTGCGCACGTACAGCTGGTGGTAGTGGTGTATGTTCACGTCATCTCAATTGTCTCGTGTGCATACGTGCGTGTGTCTACATATTAAAACGTAAACAGGCTTCTCTGCACAAAAGATATCATGTGCGCAAATCAATTGTGGTAGTAAAATTGCTCAGATTATATAAAATATAAAGCAGAAATAGTCAATAAGTAGATTGTTTTTGTCCTGGTGACAGCTGTTCACTCACTTATTCACCCACCCACTTATTTACTGTTATTAGTAGTCTTTATACGTGCTTAAGAAGAAAAGTTGTCAGACTTCTTCTTCACAATCTTTTTGGAATTACTTTCGAATCCATTGATGCTTGTTATGTGTGTGTGTGTGTGATTGGTGTTCCTCGTGAATTCTGAAGTGTGTTCATTTAACAGAAACTTGAAGAAAAATAGAAAGCATAAAAAATATGACAGGAAGTATTATTAATCAGTCAGTAGTCGTCATAACAACATTCCACATTGATTTTTTCTTCTCTCTCTCTCTCTGTTTGTGTGTTATTTCTTTTATCAACAAATTTAGTTTATTATTGTGATTATTGTTGTATCGGTTTTTCGATTTGTCAATACTACTTGTATATTCAAGTTGGGTGTTCCTTTCTCTCTCTCTCCTTCTCCCTTCATGTGTGCGTTGTGCTTTCTCCTCTACTCGTGTTTTCTGCTTGCTTGTTGATTTGTGATTTTGGGACTTTTGAGATTAGTGCTTGTAGATTGTGTACGCGCGTGTGTGTGTGTGTGTGTAAGAGTATATATAAGGAGCTCTGAAGTTTCAGTAGCGACGTGGTGTTGTTTTTTACGGGGTGACTTTGCTAGCTTCACGCTCAACCTTCTTTCCCAGGTTTGCTATTGGTGAAATGAGGTTTAGGAGTGCACCAACGGGAATCGAACACAAATGTGAGCGCGGTTGGCGAGCAATCTACCACTGAGCCACTGATGCATGAAAGAGAGCATTAAATCTAACAAGTTCTTGTTGTATTACCGCTCAGTTGTTTGTTGAGTGTACTGTAGAGGCGCCTATCCTAACGTGCTTGTGACGTGACTTGTATCTTGGGATTACTGAACTCTCAATATAATGATATTGAAAAGATATAGTGGACTGGATACAGATATTCTTCTGTAAGAATCAGTGGTCAGGTAGTTTCACTAACGAATGAAGTACTCTGACTTCTTCATTTTTTCAACTTTTTACTCTTTCTCCCCCTCCCCCGCATTTTCTATGGGTTTCTCTTTATCTTCATTGACAATTCATTCTGCATTTTTGTGACAGTTAGCTGAAACATGTATAGGGATTAAGAAAGCGCACATAGAAGTGGTGAAATCACAATGAAAGAAGGTATATGGATCGAAAAAAGAATCTAGATCTGAACTGAACAAGTGATTTGTGTCTAACGGCACTCAAACTTGAAGGTGAACTGGCGGAAACAACAAGCTGGCAGAGGAGAGGCAGCGAAAACATGACTTTAAGGAAACTTAGATACCTAACTAAAAACAGCAAACATTACCCACCATCTATAGGAAGTTTCCTTTTTCACTTACCTCGACAGCATCGTTTCAACTACTGATAAACTCATCTGATTGACTGCACATCTCAACAAAGTGTAACGGCAGGACGCGAGAGTGCTTGGCAGCGTTATTATTTATTGGCAACTCGATGTTCGGATATTGGCAAAATAGGTCTATCATGTATTAGAATCATAATTTGCATGTGTCTTCGACATTGTGTTACTCTTATCTTCCATGTTGGGCTTCTTTATTTTCCTTTCGTGCTTTCCATTTTGTTTTACAAGCATCGTTCATTTCTTTTCTTCGCCATAAAATCTATCTCTCTGCTATTCGATATTCTTGCCGGTGATACACATTTACGTCTGCATCTATAGGGGGGGGGATTACAAAGACTGAATACATCTACACCATTGGGGACGGTTTCTAGCCATATCACCAACAGTGTCCAGCTATTGGTTCTTGGCGTCTCGACGACCCCATACAGACACTCTCCAACTCCCTACACGGCTAGTTCAAATCATTAGTCAAAGTCTTCATAGACTGATGCTCTGTTTTGATTTGACTACGTCTAAATCTCAACCATGTCAGTTAACATTGCTCGACGAGGAAGGCGATGGCTGGGTATGCATAAAGCGTCTCCAAACCATCTCAACTGATGCTAATTCACAACCTGATCGATTGATTTGCCTTCCCTACCTAGCATTTTATACCTAAGCTCAATGCTACTCATCACTTTATACAACTTAATACTCGGGAGAGGACGCAAACATCTGGTGAAAGAAAGCTAATCGCTTCGAGTTTCCTACACTTTCCAACCCTGTCTTGTAGCCATAAAGAATGATGGAGCGGAATGCTGAGGTGTACACACTTCCTTTGATCGATAACCGGATATCGAATCTACGCCTGAGATGACGTAAGTTGGCAAATACCACACGAGCCTTTTGTATTCTTGCTGAGATGTCATCAGAAATTTCTCTGTTAGGGTTGTTGAAACCTCTCAAACAAGTAAAGTGGTGAAGATGCCCAACCACTTTACTATGTCTTTAACCAGGATTTTATGCAGACCAGTCCTGCGTCATCATCTCTCACTTAACAGGGGCGAATTGCACGCCAAACATTCGATGATTTTTGCTCAGGGTGTTCAGAATACTCTGCACGTTTTTATCATGTTCACACACGAGGGCAGCATAATCTACGTACTCTAAATTAAAGAGTCTGTACCATGGGAACAATCAATCTGTGAGTTACTGGAGTCGATTAAGGTCGTATCTATCAGTACGTGTATGATGAATTTGTTCAAAATGAAGACTATGGGCATCTTTGACGTGCACTGCTGGTTGTCATCACTTCATACGATAACTTACCATAAGGCCTTACAAGTCTGCGTGAGTTCGAGTGGAGCGCCTAGATTAGTGTGACATACTTTTCCGGTACACCTCATCACGGCTGGACATTGTCACAAAATGAAATGTCGCCTTCAGGTCAAGAAGTTTGTTTACTGTTGGACGACAGTAAGTAAACCTGTGACCCATGATCTGTCGAAGGGTCAAGATGAAAACAGTACACTCTTGACCTGGCCTAGAGCCTGCCTGGTTGTATCGGGTTTATTTCTCCCTAGCACCGCTTAGTATTAGCATAGTTATTAAAACCATAAATTTAGATGCCATATTAATCAAGCTTACCCCTTGTGATTATCATAGGCGTACTTGTTTCCCTGTAATATGAACTGGGATAATCAGTGATTTACATCATTCTAACGAAATTATCACTGATTCAGAGACATCACCTGAAACCTTAGTTAACCCAGACAACAGTTTGTCACCACCGCCAGTAAACATCTCTGCAATAATTCCATTAGGTCCTGCTGCTTTGCTTGGTTTGCGATACCAGTTACATTTGGATACCTTTTGTATCACTTTGGCTCTCGTTACCCTCAATTTTCATGGTCATAGCGTAGGCATTTTGTCAGCTTGCATTGTAGCAAATTTCGCTCCTTTTCATATTACGAATCGGTTTGCTAGTATCTGTCGGTTCAGATCAATCATTAGAAATCCACTGGCATTGACTAACGTTTGGTTTTAGATTATCAGTGTGGTGAGAGGTGGCCGTGAGAAAATATGTACAAGGCTGATTCAACAACCAATCACAGCAAACTTAACGTGGCAAAATATGATTCGCAGATAAAGAACTCTATTTTTCGAGGAATTCCGAAACAACCAATCAGAAGACTGCGCTTGTCTACTTGCATAAGCTATAATAATGTATGTGAAATATATATAAATACGTGTTGATTTTCGTAATAAAACGATCTGTTGCCTGGCCCTTGTCTTCTGTTGTTACATTTGGTGTCGCTGCCTACTGACAAATGGAAAGCCTATGCCCTGCAGCTTTTGATGGAGACATATGGATCTTCGGGCAGAACGTCAAGGCTTCTGCGCATTTGAGTGGCGTTCAAGATCTGTCAGCGATGGAGCTGCTACTTGGGATGCTGCTGGGAGGTCGGGTGAAAGCAGCACATGAAAGTGTGAGCCGAAGTACTGACGAATGTTCGACAGGGTCAGGCAAACAGTTTCCAAAGTGGGAGGGACCACATATGGTCACGTCGAGATTGGGTTACGCAGACACAGTCGCAATGGCGAACAATGAGAGGCGCGTGAACGTCAGCGAGCTCCAGAAATGGATACAGCAAGACAAACCAACGATGACGCCTGCACCAAGAAGATCAAGACGACTTCAGTCGCACGTATTTGACGGGGGGACGAATGTGGTGAGAGGTGGCCGTGAGAAAATATGTACAAGGCTGATTCAACAACCAATCACAGCAGACTTAACGTGGCAAAATATGATTCGCAGATAAAGAACTCTATTTTTCGAGGAATTCCGAAACAACCAATCAGAAGACTGCGCTTGTCTACTTGCATAAGCTATAATAATGTATGTGAAATATATATAAATACGTGTTGATTTTCGTAATAAAACGATCTGTTGCCTGGCCCTTGTCTTCTGTTGTTACATCAGTAGCCTCTACCATCGTTTCTACAGCTGATAGGACGTGTCTTGCTGTCAATCTTCGATACATGTTCACTGATTTCTTCGTTAAACTCAGACTTCATAGTTGCATATTTTGTATGTCAATTCTGTTTTAAGCACGTGCATCCGTGGACTAGTGCGTGATAGGTTTATGCGCAGGCGTCGTAGAAAGGAGAGGCAGTCTTCTACCGGCCTTCATCGATTTATTATCGTTATTTGTTCTATTTGAGTCCATCGTTGATTTGGTGATGACAGTTGCCAGGTGGCTAAATATTTCTCTGTATGGTTGAAATTAGCACTAACAAGCAACAGTTCAGTATCTCAACTAAATTGTAGAGAACGATCAACTTGTTGGTGCGTCGTTGTGGGACCTCCCAGGCGTCAACAATACATTTTTCTGACTGACACAACTTCCCTATTTGAGCTGAGCTTGGAAATCACCTGCTAAAATGACTATATCTGAACATCTTGCTTTTAGCTGTAAACTAGGCAGTTTTTCGTGGAATTCATCCTTTACTTCTCCCGAACTGCGGTTTGTTGAAGCGTAAGCAGAGATAATGAGTATATATCGATGGGTATCACAAACTTTCTCTTTTCTCATGGGTTTAAGTGGACAACACATGTGTGACCACTCACTGAAATAGAATCATGTAGAGAGTTTTCTGTCTCAGCTTTCAATGTTATTTCTATACCTGGAAATCCTTGCGGGCTAATTGAAGGATCTCTTGACAACCATAAGGTAGATTCTAGAGTCACCTTGTCTGCTTAATGATAGAGTTAAGTGTATTATCACTTGGGTCTTGTATTTGTGTTTATGAAACACAACATATATCCATAGCGCGAGAGGCCAAAGTTCTGGCTAGTTAAGCCTGTTGTCTGTATATTTCTCATCTACCTTCTTATTAACAAGGCTATTTATGTGACTTTAGGTTAGGTTGGGTTGGGTTGTAATAGATTAAGCAACAACTAATCTCAGAGGCCACTACCTTTACATGGACTGAAAGTTTGCAATCTAGATGTATATGAGGATGACTCCTACTACCATCTGAGTGACCATTTCAAACAAGCGATCTTGACAGATACTATGTTGTTTGCTGGATAGTTTGATGCACGATGGTACCTTTGAAAAATGGAGAGTTGTGTGACTGTCAGAGGTGCTGAATGGTTTCAGGACAGGCGGTGTGAACCATCTTTTATAGTTGTGTACAGATTACAACATATTTGCTATCTTCACTAACTTTCACCACAGTTATTATCGTTATTGTGTTGATCATTTGTCTGAGACTGACAATATAAAACAGCACTTTTGTAAGAGTTATAATGATTTGTTGTTAGTGTGTGTGTGTGTGCTTGCGTGAGGGAGAGGTGAAAACAGCTGAGAAATCTGCAGTAGTGGAAAGCCCTTACCGATCTTCTAGGATGTTAGAAGCAATAAATAAACTCGATGTTAATGAACTAGTGATTATGTCTATTTAAAACGTTAGTACTTGGTTTGAAGATTGATTGAGCTGTTTGGAAAACATTACAACCGATCACCACGACTGTGTTCTACCAACGAATGCAACGAAGAGGTATTTCGAAGGGCATCTTGAAAGTATATGCTCTAGAAAGCTTTACTTTTTCTCATTGTAAACATGGTGAAGTTGCTCTAATCAGAGAAGTCACTACACTGTATGAGAGGGTGTCGTATATGGTTGAAAATCGAAATCAATGGCGAACATGTCTCAGTTTCCTTCTTTCCTGTCTTTTTGAAAGTAAAGTGAAGTATTGTAAACTCTTCATAGGTGTGAATGCCCGTCCTCTTGATGTTATTCATCAGTCGTTCTACTACTTTTACAGCTGTTGTGTTTTATGTTATCCATATATTGTAGCAGGTTTGTTCTCAAGTAAAATAATAATACATGCATATACGTACATTAGGCACACAATAGTTACAGGACTGTCCTTTGAGATATCCTGTATAGGGAAGAGGTGTCTTTGAGAAGTTTATCAACAATCTGGTGGCCTAGTACAAAATCTTATGTGGAGTGGCGGCATACAATCAGCTGTCACCACTTTTCCCAACCAATAGTAGGTATAGTCTGTGTTGCGCGTTTTCGCCATATCGCTTTATTTTACTATCAGTGATATTCTCAAGACAGCTCTGAATTCTGTGCACGATGGTGACAGTATTGATTTCCTACAAGACGAAAGACTTTCTGACCTTTATTATGTGAACGATATTGTCATACACTGGCCGTCCATATCGCTCCTATACGGATAGGATTTGAGCACTGTGGATGAATGTAGCTCCGTCATTTGAAAAAACAATGATCTAACCTATGTAGTTGACCTCACAGTAGATCGGCGTCAGTCAGGTAGTCGGAACATAGCAATATAACGAAAGTGTAGAATAGTTGACTCCAGGAAGGTGAGAAGTTAAAAGAAAAACCCAGCAATCACAGTGCACACACCAACAGAACACACAGTAGGTTGGGACAGGGCTAGACTTCTAGAAAGTAGTTTAGATAGGTGGAGGGAGATGTTGACTACTAAGTCTTTGTTCATCGAGTTTATACCTACACGTACAATAAGAATGATGCAACATCGATACCAGATATATGGAGAATATTGCGACCGATAAAACTAAAAGAAGAAATAATAGAGTTATATAGGGGAAATTTAGAAGCTGTGGGAATGCGTTGATTATGTTCACGAGCAGTAAATTGTGCTGGTAATGTTTTCAGTAAATAATACTGTATCATTCTTTTTTCAAATAAAATTATTGTGTTAGTAAATGGTACCTAGTCAGATAGTGATGAATGTAGGTCTCAGTATGCACTGTCCTCCGTCCATGTGCAAAGCACTGTTGCAACATTACTAGGGGTTAGTATTCTGCAGAGTTCATGTGTCTAAGTAGCTGTGTGAATGCACGTGATAGTGTGACGGATGAAATTCCCAATCATATAGCGGAAGACAAAACGGCTTTGTGTATTCCCTGGTGTTGTCACAATGATAGCCTGACCACACAACATTTGGTTTTCAGCGCTTCATTGAGTTCATTCCTCCCCTTTATCTGTATAACCTTGCCTGCGGGTGTTCAGTGGCTCTACGTCTTTCATTACCTCACTCTCTCTACAGGATTAATTGTATCCAGTATCGACATAAAATAAATAATTTTGAGATATGGTGGAGTTCGTTTCTCAGTAGATAGTACCACCTGAGGATATTGCTCATTCATGGAAGATCAACAGTAAATTATTCCATCTGGAACTGATCGATTAAACATTATTTTTCCTTCTCTTTGATTGTAGCTGCATGCGAAGAGCGTACTATTGGGAAATCGCTCATAAGAATTGTGATTCCATAAAGGCGATCCATCCGGGAAACTGTAGGATGCATTTTCAGAATACATGCTCTTTTCCATTCTTTCCTAAAGACTGAATTTCGAACAGAGTTGATCATTAATTCAAACCCACCTCACCCAGTTGAGTGTTACCATCCACTTTTGCTCAGTATCTCTCGTGTCTGAAATCTATTAGAGAATATGTTTCTCTCCAAACTGTCCTGTTGATGTCGATTGCAACCCAAATTGTTTGGCTAACTATGAGTAAATGGGTGTTGATAACTAACTGTTCTTTGTATTCTTTTTATGACTTTGTTGTGCTGTTGTTTAGTTTATTTTCTCAGTTATTCTAATGTAAATAAATTTTTCTTTTATAATCCGCATTTTTATGTCACAGGAACTCAGTGTTCAGGATGTCATTGATTCTGACTATCCGGATATTTCTCGTTTGGGTGTATTACAAGGCGCTGGTGATGATAAACTCGGTCGTAAAGTGATAGTATTCTCTGCATGTCGCCTACCAGCTTCCGACTTAATCGATCATCAACGTTTACTTATGTAAGTCGTTTTTCACCGGTTTAAGTTTAATGGGTGTAGGATTTATTTGAATTCAGTACTATATATATATATATATATATATATATATATATATATATATATTAAAGTTTGTTACCGAATAAATTCCTGTGGATTAGAAAAGCAAGACAGACTTTGATTGCTTTGAAATCATTGTTCAAATCTACTGTACTCAGCATAAGGGTGGGCTTTCGGATTTTTAACATTAATGTGAAGCCATTGTGTCTATATGGTCCAGAGACTTGGCTCTTGCGTCACGAAAAGCATTTCCAGCAGCCCGTTGGAGACTTTCATCAACAACTACCTTCGCTCGATCCTGAAGATCAGACGGCTGACCAGAAAGGATAAGCGACAAGGCACTCTGTCAGGTACAAACCAGCTAGGAATCTATTATTTATTTAAAACACAAAACCTAGTACAATATGCCACCAAGAAGACGCGCCACACGATAATAATAAAACATGAAAAAAATAGGTAGAATAAGAATAAAGGACTTCACTGGGAAGAAAGCAGTTATATCTAACAAGATCAAACAGCGTTTGCCGAATCATCTTCAGAAAGGCAAGAAAGAAGAAACTTGCAGCACGTTCGCAACTGGTGACGATTCTTGGGCATATCCGTTGACGTTTGGAGCCACCGATTCGACCTCTCTCTCGGACCCCAACCAGGGAGTCGTGATGCACCAACCGAAGGTAACCTACCACAAATACCCTTCATCCTACGACGCCACGTTATGGGCTAACTACCTCTCCGCTTTTTCCATCCGGTTCTCAGACTAGCAAACACAGTCCTCTACAGAAACCTCTGGGATGACATTCCTTGCACATGTCTAAGCCATCGAATTCAGTGTTTCCAGATGACGACACTCAATGATTAGTTATCTCCACTGTGTCCAAACACATGCCACGGGACCTCAAAATTACTCACACTATGATGCCATCGAACGCAAGCAACTCTACGGAAATAGTGCCGATCAAATACGTAGAGTCGCCTCTCATCCTCAGCTCGCAGAGACCAGGTTTCGCAGGCGTAGGGCAACACAGCTCGCACCGAAGCATTGTAAAACCCACCGTTGATAGCCAGGCTAACGTCGTGACGGCTTTTGAGTTGGCTCAAGTTGACGTATGCCGCCCTGGCTTTCATGACACTATTGGAAATCTCGCCCGTCACGCTTCAGCCAGCATTCATATAACTACCCAGATACACGAACTTATCTACAACTTCAAGCGTTTCACCTGTAACAGTGAGTGCAGGTACAGGCTCCTGTCAATTTTGTAACAGTACTTTGCATTCAGTTGGTGTGAAGCACATACCATACTTACAGATACTGGTCGCCAACTGATTAAGTGCGATTTGGACAGCCTGCTCGCTGCCGCATAGTAAGACGATGTCGTCCGCATACTCGAGGTTTAAAAGCCTTTCTCCGTGGAGCAGATCTACACCACCACGATGCAACTCCTTCAGAGCTGACTTCAGAACGTCGTCGATGGCGAAGTTGAAGAGAAATGGAAAGAATGGGCAACCCTACCTAACCCACCTGTTGATTGAGAACAATAATGATAGCTAGTTGTATGCCGCCCTCACTCTACCTGAGGTATTTCTGTCTAGGGCTTTCAGGATGCTGACAAACTTCTCAAGTACATCCCTCTCTAACAGACAATTCCAGAGAATAGTTCTGTCCAACGAATAGAGGGCAGCCCAAATATCAATAAACACAACAATTGTTGGCCAGCATTATGTGTGGCGGTGTTCTAACAGCTGATGCCGGGTAAACAGATGGTCAATACATTCACGTCCTCAAGGAAACCCAGCCTGCTCTTCGCGAATCAATCCCTCACGTATTTTGTACAGCCTTCGAAGCAAGACAGCACCCAATATTTTAGACGCAACTGTTAGTAGATTGACACCCCCCTTATAATAGTCCTATGTGTAACTTCGACCCTTTTTAAAGATGGGGACGATAATGGCTTCATTCTACATTGGTAGTATATCCTCAGTCTCCTATACCTTCCTGAATAATCCAGTTAAAGGCATGACAAGAGTCTCACTACTATCTTTAAAAGAGCTGGGAGTAGATTGTCTCGTCTGGACGTCTAATGTTGTTTCAGTACATGGGTTTTTTTTCAAACCTTTGCTTCGATTGGTGCGTCGGTATTGATCGACTAAGTAGCATTGGTGACGGTGGTGGCCAGCTAAACTGCTTCTCAAAGTGTTCCGCCCAGTGTTCCAGGAGTCTTTCCAGACTGGTGATTAGCGTGCCATCTGCCTCGCATACTATCTCGTTGACACCCTGTTTCTTGCTGCCAGTGTCTCGGATGAGACTGGAACAGCTGCTTCTGAGGCTGTTGCCAATGCAGCCGTTGACTCCATTTCACACACACGCTCTGACCACCAAGCTTCGCGGTCCTTATGCGAACACTGTCTAATCTTGCTTGTAAGCGCCTTTCGCGTGCTCTTGTACTCTCTGCCTTCCGGAATGGACCATTAATCATCAAGGAGTTGCAAGGAACTCGCAGAAACCCATTGGTTCCCAGTGAGGCATTCTTGTAAACCATTTGCTATTTGCATGACGCCTTGCAGATGAAGCCAGTGTTCATCTATACTTCTTGTAGGGCTATTAGCTATGACAGTAACTTAGTCTGGTATTTCAAAGAGGTACTCAGTGCTACCAGGTTGCTCACATCAACGTGTGGATGATACCGTTTATTAAACCCACCAAATCGCAAGAAAAACCTGGCACACACTAAGGCATGATCGGAGTCCTGAGACCTGTCGGACGCTTTGGCTCAGAGGAGGAAGAATTAGGTTATCAATGAGGACTAGATGGTTAAAGGTTAGATTCTGGATACTATCTCCTGCAGGTTCGCGTAGATCACAATCTATTTCTAATCAACACTGAATTCCGGCACAGTTATTATTGTGGTAATACCTGACGTCCTCCATCTGTCACTCATACCTTGACTCCGATAGCTCACAATACCGTCAGCTACTGACAATGTGGGTGCATAGAGTACTTCCACTCCTTCTGGAACACCTGTGTGGATTGTGATCATGCTTCTTATTTTCCGGGGTTTATCTTGAGATTTTGTGGTGATCATATACATCGTTTTCAACAGGTTAACATAAGTCACTGTTACAACCCTTCTTCATTCTCAAACTGACTAAGTTTCAACACAGAATAGAAGTGCAGCACTTCAGTTTGCCGCACTCCGTGAAGCACACAAAAATAGAGAAAAGTAAAATTCAGAAAAAAACTATAATGAGCGTAAATGTGGTATTTACTGCTGCTGAGTGAGTTAATAGAGTTTTCCCCGTCGCCAATTATGTTATGTACTCGTCGAGTAGTTAATAGTCCTGACGCGAAAAGAGGGATATCAGAAGACCACCAGGTTTACGATGATACTTGTATTTTCCAGACAAGGAAAATAAATGTCACACAAGTGTGTGAGGGAATTGGTACGAATGTCCGAACGTGAGAACAAGAAAGAATATATATAGCGTACAATGCAAAGTATATATGAAAATGGCTAATACACATGAACAAATAAATACAGTCTTAACATGATTGGTTGTAATGTCATATGACAACAAGGTCATACATGTTTATTTAGTTAGTGGACAGACACAAGCATATTGTCAGTTGTAGTGGAATATCGATCCATATACACATAGCAAAATATAACAGACTGTCAAAAACAAAACACACACATCATGTGGGTACATATCAAAATGTACGGGAGAAAGGATAGTAGCATGGAAGAATATGAGGGTCTAATTGATATTGGAGATAATGAATGCATCTGCGTGATTAAGAACTATTTTTAGCCTCATTACCCACGCTCTCTAGAAAAATTGGTTCTTAGCATCCCGAGACCCCCGACCAAGCAGTCGACACCCCTTGCCCTGCGTGGCCCAAACTAACTGTCAAAGACTTCATGGATAGATACTCTGCTTAGATTTGACCAAACCTAAATCTTTTCTAACCTAAATCCTGTAGCGTAAGTTTCTCGTTTATGCTCAGGGCAAAGTTGCTCCTCAATTCATTTAGGAAAAATAATACATTTAGCGTTACGAGTTAGATTGAGGGAAGATGAGATACGGAGAACTCGATGTGAATTATTCGCAGTTTGAAATCGTGAAATGTTTAAAGTGATTTGAATTGTCGTGTAGTATGAAGAAAATTATTGATAATAGTTAGGTAACCTTTTTCTGTACTGCAGTAGGAAAGGGACGTAATTCCATTCAACGAAATTGTATTGTCTTCGAATCCTATTTGATGATCAATCCTTGTATATACATTAACGTGTCCATTGATTCAGAAATTTAAGCTCTGGGATTTTTTCAACTAAGACAATCAGTTCAGATTAAATTCCGAGATCATGTGGATATATTGCACTGGAGAGACAAATTGGTGGCTTCTATTGATGAATTAGATATGCAGTCGAAATTATTGCCCGGAGTCGAATTTCAGATTTCATTAAGCATATTCGAAATGCTTGATATTCTCATTGTTATTAGAACGTTAGTCATACTAATTTGATGATGCATTTATTTGGTTCAATGAATTCATCTATGGGAAATTTATTTTAATTATTCTTGCGATCTAAACACCCTTGTTAGAATCAACCAAACATTTGTTGCAGAACGTTTCGTGTCCCCATGATTACTCTTGCTCAAAGTCTGCAACAGCTGGCGTGGATTAATACTTTTGTCCACGCCAAGTAAAATACTAAATTGCATCATCCTGGAAAGAATAAAACATACACTAAATACAGAACTCCGCCAGCCCCAAAGGAAACAGCTGACTGGATTCAGGAAAGGCAAATCATGTGCTGATCAAATTGCAACTCTACGCATCGTCATCACAGAACAAAACATAGAATGGCAGTCAAACGTCACCCTACCTCAACTTGATTGACTTCAAAAAGACTTTCGACAGATAGCGTTGAGCGGGAAGTAATTTGGAAATTACTTCAACACTCCGGCATGCAATGCCCAAGTCTTTACCAACCCCATTGGAAAGTTGGCTCTATGACAATGCCACGTGTCAAGTGATCCATACCGGGGAACTCAGCGAGGCGTTCGAAGTGGAGACAGAAGTAAGGCAAGTTGGTCGCCTATTGTCACCGATGATTTTCTTCATTGTGGTGGACTGGATTATGCATCAGACTGTGCTCAGGGAGCGAGGAGGCAGGAATACACTGGACGACCGATAAGAAGACACTAGAAGATCTGGATTTCTCAGATGATATATGTCTAATATCTCACAAACTCGAAGACTTGGAGACAGGAGAAGACCAACAAACTGGTTGAAGAGGGTGGCTGCCAGCGAAGACAGGACTGCAGGTGAACATAGTGAAGACGGAGGTGATGAAGATAAATAACAAACCGCAACAACAACAACAACAACCAGCACTAATAACCATCAACGGGAGAGATTCGAAAGAGGTTGCCTCCTTCACTTATCTGGGAAGCATCGTTTCAACTACAGGAAGTGGAAACGGATGAAGATGTCAAAGTCAGAAGCGGAAAGGCAAGATATCCGTACGAACCCGAAACCAGTCTGGAAATCTGCACTCAACATAAAAAAACAAGCTTCGGTTTTTCAGCACCAATGTGAAGTCAGACCTTTTATATGGCTCAGAAAGTTGGTCTGTGATAACCACGAAATGGATTTCCAACAAGTCATTGCAGACTTTTATCGACAGCCGCTTTTGCCGGCTTCATACTGAAGATCAAGTACCAGGCCAGAAAGAATTAGTAACAAGAAACTCTGGCCGGGAACAAGCCAACCAATACGTTTGAAAAATGAAGATGGATTGATCGGGCATACATTGAGGATGCAGTCGAATGACACAGCGTGCCAGGCCATTGCTCGAGTGGAATCCAAATGAGAAGCGAAGAGTAGGTCGTCAGTGCGAGGGTGACATCGAGGAGATCGTGAGAGAGGGGAAGGAGAGAGACTATGGACAATCGTGGACCCAGGTAACGGGGAGAGTAGAAAGTCGAACATAGTGGAGATGTGTTGTTGAAGCCCTATGTTCCACTCGGAACTCAAAGGGATAATAATAATAATAAAATGCTCACTTTTACCTTCATCGCATTAAAATCTGTCGTTCAGCTGGCTTCCAGAATACTTTCTATTAAGCAGTGTTTATCCGTCTTTGCATTGAAGAGTCGTCCTGATTCTACTTAAGAAAACAAATTTACTCTTTGTATGTTCTGAATTTTGGTTAGTCATGTGGTGGTGATGGGGAGGTGATAAATGTTTCTTTACTAGATTTGCTTGCTAGCCAGCCAGATGTTCAATCTTCCCTCTCCACTTGCCTGAAGACCTACTTCAGATGTGCCGCTGACGCCGTATACTCCACTTGAAACGAAATTAATGGTATGAAACTACCTTGTTTGCAGAGTTGTTACTTCCTATGCTAGTTTTTCAGTATTATTGTCGATAATCTTATGATGATGGTACTTTATTTTGTCTACAAATTCTTTTTCTCTCTCTGTTTCCTCTGAAAGGTTGTCCACATATCAACTACTCCAATTCTCGTCTTGTATCTCACATGCACCCAAGGTTAAGGCCTATGGGACAATTGCTACCATTTTTGTTGTGTGTTAATTTTACTTGTTCGACTGAACTTTTAGGTGTATGTCAACATTTTTCTTATTATTATTGTGGTTATCTCAATGTTATTATCCCATATAAGGCTCACGTGTACACACACACACACATACACGCACACATACATACTGTTACCTGATTCCCAATGGTTACAGAACAATTGTTGTCGTTTTCGTTCCCTGTTTTCATTCAGTATTGTTACTATTATTTTTTTTTTTAAAATTCTCGATACCTTTTAGGTATATTACTAAAACACTGGAACAATATGTCAGCATTGATTACTGTCTAATCTACTTTCACTTTGGTCTTTCTAACAAAAATCGACCAAAATTCAAATGGCTTGTTCAAGCGTATAGAACATTTGGACGGAAGTAAGCTAATTCTCTTGCCTGTATTATGTTAGAAAAGTTGCTATTTAGATTTTACAATGGTCTGAAGACATTTTTTCTCTCCTGTCTCTCTGTCTGTCTGGATTCAACATAGAACTTGGCACCCAAGGGCAACAGTTCGAGTTGCCACGTTCCAAATAGCACACAAAGGCAGACAAGAAGATGAGTGAAGAGAATCAACAGAGTTTGACAAGTATAAGAGTGAAACAGAATGGGTAATTGTAGAAAGGAATATGAAAGATTACAGAGACTAAATACATCTGCCCTGGCCATTGACAACGATTTTGAGCCATGTCACCTATCGTCTCCAGCCATTGATTCCTAGAGTCCCGAGGGCCCCAACCCGGGAGTCTGCATCTCCCTACCTGACTCAGTTTAACTGTCAAGGATTTCATGGATTGATGAGGCCATGTTTTGTTTGGCCACCACTTACCCTTTTCCAACCTGCAGCTATATCAGCTAGTAATGCCCGTCGGGGGAGGCGATGGTTACGCATGCGCGTTAGGCACGTGACCTAGCCATCTCAATCTATGTAACTTTGTAGCCTCGTTGATTGATTTTCCCTCTTTTTTCTCTCCTATAGTCGATTTGGTGTTTTTTTTATATCCGGATTAAGTTGTTCTCTCTATGAACTGGAAATTTTGTCTGTCAGCCTTCAGGGTAGTTCACTTTGCATTACTGGGATGGATTGTTAACGGAATGGATGATTTCTTAGCCAACGCAGTAGCTTAATTGATTTATATTGCGTTAGTTAAGGAACTATATAGTAATGTGTAGTAAATTTGGAAGGACCCAACTTGCGTCATCTCTGGTATAGACGCGTGTACTGTACCTCACTTTGCTATGTTCTCTCTTTTACGGATGTGAGGCATGTTCATTGAAAGTGGAAGGTGTGAAAAAGCGTTTATATTCGAACTCACGTATTGATTGGTATAACATGATGAGCAATATCACAATTAGAGGTGTACAGTTGGTTAGGTGAGGAGGGGAGGTCAATCGATGAGGTTGTGAAGCTAAATCGATTGATTAATTAGTACCTTATGGTCGACCTTTGGGAAAGATGATTTTATGTTAGCTGAATCCATCAGCGGATGATATGAACTGACTTCAAGAAGAACTGTGCTCTCTTACTTTCATGTCTAGTACTTCTCATATCGAAGATTTTATCAGTTTGTCTCAACTGTTTTCATCTATACACGTTATGGATAGTTGAAGGGTCGGCAGAACTATTAAAAATATACAGTATAGTTGCTGAAACTCATAAGTAGAGACCAAAATTATGCAATATCTACTTCTCTCTCTCTCTCTCTCAGTAGTTCTGCCGGATTTGTCATCGTCCTCATTTATGACGTTTCTTAAATAAGAATAAAAATTTTCAGTCTCTAGATGCCATCAGACGTTAAGGTAGGTAGGTGGGTGATAACTGTGGTAGCGTGTATAATTCATGCTAAATACCAACGCTGATTGAACAATGTTTAAAACTATACTTTTGATTCAAGCCTTTTGAATGAAAATAATCCGGGTATTATAGTGGTTATTTCATACCTATAGAAACTGACTTGTAGACTGAATTCGAATAATACAACTTTGTACAGACGTACAGCAGTTCAAGTCTCCACACACTTCATTTGGCACACAAAGGTATAAAAAAGGAAATTCAAGAGATTCAATTGTTGGTTTTTAGGGATTCGATTGGTTGGTTACAGGACTTCATCATGAGCTGACATCGGTTAGGGAACCATTGGAAAACCACCTGAGAGTACTGCCAGAGAGCTGTTTCGTCCTAGTTTGGGACTCTTCATCAATACCCACCTACCGGGGTTTGAACATAGGACCTTCTAGTTACAAGTCGAACTCGCAGACCATTAAGTCACTGGGACGCGATCCAATGACTAGTCCATGAATTCTAACTTCTGTCAGTTCACGACAAAGCGCGACCTCTAGCCAATGTCTTCGGCGAGTATTTGTCCTCATACCCGACCTGCTGCACCCTACTGGTCACGACTTCCCACTAGAACCCAGGTAACTACCCACTGGAATAGCGCCAGTCGCTAGTGAGCATCTCATTGATATTCAATTATTGATTTTAGGAATTTGATTGATTGCTTACTGGATTTCAAAATTCAAGAGAATTATAATAACCATAAATGTATGGAGAAAGAGTAGAAATACGGGAGAAGCATGAGGATTTAATGAATCTAGAAAATTACAAAGAGTAGGTTTCATGTTGCACCATTGAGAACGACTTCATTCCATTTCTCTGGTTTTCTGTAGTTCCCTGTCAAGTTTAAACATTCCTTCTTCAGTGAGGCTTTTCCTTCTAGTGTGGATGATAATACGTGCTCACATACACACACACACACACGCATACATCTCTGAATGCCTAAATATGTTTTACGACTGAATACAATTGTCTCTTTTTCACTAAACTCTCTGTTCTCTCTTTCTCTTTCCCATATAGTTTTCGAAAAAATTTAAAAGCCCTCTACATAGTGCATCCCACCACTGGTGTAAAAATCCTATGGACATTATTCAAACCATTCATCAGGTAATTTGAATTGCTTTTTTACATTAAGCATTTCTTTTTCGTTTAATCCCCTTTTTAAAAAGTAACTAACCACCTAACTAGCTAGCTGGCTAGTCGGTTAGACACTTTTCATTTTGTCATCATCTGTGCATTGCTTATAATACATGAGACTGACTTTGCCTTACTTACAGTACTTAAGTGTCACGTGTATGCCTATGCTTGATTGTTCTAAAGCCAAGCATACTTGGTTGTCAGATGAGTCTATATATATATACGTGACTCGCGAAGAATCTTTTGTGCCATAGTGTCTGTCAATCAATCGAATCAATCAGCCATTCAGTCATTGCTATTGTCTGTTAGATGTCGTCAAATCCAACTCATCCACCCAACGTGGGTTTTATGTGTTTTTTTGTCTCGTTCTATTGACATAACTAATTATAAATAAATAAAAGTGGGATAGCTTTCATTCTGTTTCATGCCTTTCACTTCAATAATTTAACATATGCTAGTGAATATGAAGAAATGTTGTAATCCTACAACTGTTCACTACACAGTCTTGTAAATCAATTTTAGGCGTTAAACCGATCGCACGGCATAAAAGTAGTGGTTAAGTAATCAGGAAATCATAACACTCATTTGATCTCTTTCAAGCACAGGTTTGATGGAGCTTGGGGCCTACTTAATCGTAGTGAATAACCCTTTGGCTTCGGGTTCGAGTCCGGTGCTGCTGATACCTAGAGTCAATCATTATTGATGTGTAGAGCCTAGAGTTCTCCAATCTTGTTGTTTGTGTATCTCCCATTCTTGTTTTCCTAGTTCTAACTTCATTGGTGCCTCAGTGGACAGCGATGATTATGCTGAGCACACTTTTTGTAGTTTGAAGTTGTAAAACAATAATAATAATAATAATAACCGAAGCAGTCCAGTTTCGTTACATTTTCTTGAATTTTAGGTTTATAAAGTGATGATATAATCGGCCAGTGGGAGTGGAGGCCGGGTGACAATTAGCCTAATGAGCCTTAGTAATGATACCAATGAATAGGGTTACCAGGGTATTATAGTCTCAAGAGTTTTTCATTCTGTTTATACCATTTTGTATTCCCAATTTCACGGCTGATTTTTTTTATCCATTTCTGGTTTTGTGGATGTACTAGAATGGGAATATTTAGCCTTGTATATTTCATTTGTGGTCATTTTACTGTACCTTTAAAAGCCTACTTTCTATGTGATTTTGATTTTGCTCTACGCTGACTTTTTTGTACAATGATACAACTGTGACTCATCGGTGTAGACGCTTGACTCCCTGTAGGTAGGTCACAGGTTCGAATCCCGTCCCCACCTACGCAGGTTGGGCAACCAGGTGGTGAGTATCACACAACAGATGTGGCTCACTGCTCCAAATGCATGGAATTACAAGTTGTTGTCGAGTAACATTTCATTTCATTTATTTTTACTTATCTAATTATCTATTATCTAATTGATGCATCGGTGGCATAGCGGTTAGGACGCTCGCCGACCATGAGGCCAGCAATCCCATCCTGTAAAAATAAACACTGCTGAAGAAACTTCAAGCCACTAGCTTGAAGCCCTATGTTCCACTGTGAACGTGAAGGAAATATGTATATAATATATATAATTATCTCCCGTTTATATATATATATATATATATATATATATATATATATATGAATTAACTCCTTTCACGTTGATTAACGTATCCTCGTGTTTTCAGTGTTCTGTTTTGGTTTGATCCATTCATCAGATAACAGTAGCTGTTGATAGAAAAAAACAACAACAACCGGAAATCAGTTGAATCCAAATTATTTCAACCTAACGTCTTTGCTTTCACAGTATAGAGATTTACAACTGAAGCTGACTTTTGTCTGTTGAATGGTATTTATTATTATTATTATTATTTCTATTTCCATGGGTTTTAAGTGGAACATACTACTTCGGTAGCCCATCTTCATTTCATCGTTTTTTTTTTGTGGTCCTTTTTGGTTGTCTTCACGATTGCCCATATACTCCCATTTCTTCCCCACACAACCTACTGAATTTCTTGGTGGAGGACCGAACTCCTCGTTTCCCAGTTGTATTTCACGCTACTTTATCATACTACCAAGGAAGATTCTAGTATGTCAGTCAACTTTTTACCTCAACTTCCTCGACCTTGGATAGGTTTTCGACATTGTCGACCCCGAAATAATATGGGAACAAGTGATGGTTTGTAGGGATTTGATTGATTGGTTTCAGGATTTCATCATGAGCTGACATTAGTTAGAGAACCATTGGAAAACCAGCACTGGAGTACTGGACAGCTGTTTCGTCCTAGTTCGGGACTCTTCATCAATACGCACCCACCACAGCGGTTCGAACCCAGGACCTTCCGGTTACAAGGCGAGCTCGTATACCATTAAGCCACTGGGACGCGATCCAATGACTAGTCCATGAATTCTAACTTCTGCCAATTCACGACATAGCGCAACCGCTAGCCAATGTCTTCGGCGAGTATTTGTCCTCATACCCGACCTGCTGCACCCTACTGGTCACGACTTCCCACTAGAACCCAGGTAACTGCCTACCTGAATAGGGCCAGTCGCCAGTGAGCATCTCCAATGGTTCTTCTTCCAATAGTTCTCTAACTAATATGGGAACAGTTTCAAAGCCACGGAGTGCAGCACCGCAAACTTTTATCAAACTCAATCAACAGGTATATGTTTAGGCCATATGTCAAGTGATTCATAACGGAAAGCTCAGCTCAGCCTTTGAAGTAAAGGGAGTAGTAGGACGAAACTGTCTGCTGTCACCAATGTTATTTCTGAATGCAATGGACTGTGAGAAGCAAGGAGATAGGCATGCGTTGTACCAATAAGAAGATTCTATAGGATCTTGATTTCGCTGGTGATTTATGTCTAATATCGAACGAACTCGAAGTTGTATACGCAAAAACTAAAGACGGGACTTCGGATAAATTTATGGAAGTCTGGTGGTGGAGGTACCTGACCAACAACAAGCACCAGTCACCATCAGCAGGAGAAATTTTTGAAGGAAGTCACTCCTTTCACTCATCTTGATAGAATCCTTTCAACAACAGGCTGAACGGATGACTATGCCAGAGGAAGGGTCGTAAATAAAAAACAGACCTCCACTAATTTATTTTTTTGATTACAGCTTGATTCCACACAGTATCTTTTGGTACAAGTATGGAATTTTCAGCATGTGATATCGGTAGCCCAAATTTTTCAGGCCGACCATAGATATCAGTCAGGTGTGCATCGGCAGCGGGTCGAACTCCGGACCATTTGCATGGTCGGCGAGAGTCCTAACCACTGTGACACCGACGCAAACAATAACTACGATTAAATGAAGTAAATTTATTTACTAATTGAAGTAAAGACAATAATGTCAAGTCAGTGTTCCTATATATGGTTCAGAGATTTGGCCTGTCACTGAAAGCATTTTCAACAGCTCGCTGCAGACTTTCATCAACAGCTACCTTCGCTCCATGCTGAAAACCAGGTGGCCAGGAAGGATTAGCAACAAGGGACTTTGTCAATCACAAGAACCGACTGCCTAATAAATGTGTTAAAGGAAACTATAAAGATGGATTGAAAGCAAATTGAAGAGACGGTTAATTGACATCACGCGTCAGGCAGGTCCTAGAGTGAAACTGGAATGAGAAACGAGGAGTTCATCCTGCGAGTAAGACATCCAGTAGGTTTGGTGTGCAGAGGAAGTGAAGGCATATGGACACTTGTGAAGACAACTAAGAAAAGACTGCAGAGAATACGGTGAAATGAAAATGGACTGTTGTCTAGTTTAATTATAGGGATTTACTATTCAACATCAGACATGACTCCACGCCATTCGTAATTAATTGTTGGCTACATAAATTCATATTTAAGCCCTATTAGATTGCGTTGCTTATTCAGTTGCAGGTAGATAGAAATACTTGTTGTTTTGTGAGTAGATTTTCTATAATTGGCTAATTTTTTGTCAAGAACTCTTGGGGTAGAATTTGATTGGTTTATTTTCCTACTGTATGGTTCCCAATGTTTGAATTGCAGTTGTTTATGCCAAAACGGGCGTTGTCTTATTGTATACGTGTCACTCAGCAGTGTGGATTGAAATTTGCACTGATGTCTCTGTTTTTACTCTTAGGGGAGCTGCCCATTATTTTTTGTACTCTAAACATTACTGATGTGTACTATGTCAGTGTGATAGTAATAGACTGTTTCTTCTGGATTAGATAATTTCATCTAGATATATCTTATTCAAAGAAGGTTACTAGTTGAGTTGCGACAAGTTAATCAGTGGTCATTTTCTTTGGCGAGATTAATTTTCCTCTCACTTCCTATACACAAATCGAGTAGTGTGGACTGACTGGACTCTCTGATCTGCGTCGAAACTGGCAAACTGAGGATGGGCTCGCTTTCAAACGAGAGAAACTGTCTTCCGGTATTTAGATTACTACATTCTCTCTAAAAAGTACTACTTTCTTATGTGAGTAACTTCCATCTGCTCATATCACTCACTCAGAAGTAGATCATTATTGTCTCCTTTAGTTCTTAGTAGAACATAGGGCTTCAACTGCACGTCTCCATTAGGTTCCTACTTGGCTCCACGTCTGCCCACATGCTCTCATCTCCTCTCCTCATGACCTCCTCCATGTCTCCTTCGCGCTGACGACAAACTCGTTGCTTCCCATTCGAGTTTCACTCGAGCGATAGCCTGGCATGTGGTGTTACTTGTTGGTTGTCTCAAAGTTTGGCCAACGAATCTCCATTTTTTTCCTGCATATTTGTGGTACAATCGGTTCCTGGTTGGTTCGTTCATTTCCAGAGTATCCTGTTGCTGATTTTTTCTGGCAGGTCATCTGATTTTGAGTAGTATTGAGCGAAGACAGCTGTTGATGGAAGTCTGTAGTTTGTTCGAAGTGCCCTTCGTGACGCGGTGCCGTGTGTGATCCGTACAGCAGCACTCACTGACTCACACATTCCTACTCAGAAGTTTCTACTATT